CCTCCCTGCTGGCACCTCCCTGCTCTGGGGCCACCCTGTCTCAACCCTGTCCTGGTATCAGGATGTATTGTTTTTTAAATATATTTTTATTGCTTTCAGAGAGGGAGGGAGAGGGGGAGAGAGATAGAAACATCACTGATGAGAGAGAAGCATGGATCGGCTGCCTCCTGCATGCCCCCTCACTGGGGATCGAGCCCGCAACCCGGGCCCAGGCCCTGACCGGGACTCCCCAACATGACCTCCTACGGCCACACAGGCTGGGCCCAACCTGCGTTTGCAAGGGGACATGCCCATTGTCTCAAGGGAGGCTGCTGGCCTACTGAGGTGTGTGTCTGGGTCGTGGAACGGAATCCCACACCTGGCACAGCCAGAGGGCTTGGCGACTCGGTGGCTGAGGGCCGCGCTGCAGCCGCGGGCAGTGGGTGCCGCAGAGGGGACCCTGGCTGGGAAGCCTGCCCGCCTCACGGCAGCGGATGGTGCAGGGAGCTGGGAGCCCAGGCTGAGGCCTGAGGGGAGGGAGGGGCCCTGCCTCAGCTGCTGAGTTCACCTCTAATGGTCTTTTCTGTGAGTCTGCGATCCTTGGGGCTCCCCCTGCTCTTCCCTGGACGCCCAGCCTTGTCCAGGCCCCTTCTCACCCCGACTGCCTCTGCCTCGAAGATTCTGACAGGCCTGGAATTTTCAGTCCTTCAGGCCACACCGCCCCCTCCCTGGCTCACTAAACCAGTGCCCCAGGCGGCTCTCTCTAAGGGACACATTTAAGCCTCCTCACCGCCCTGTTACTGGAAAAGGGGCCTGGCCCCTGGTCCAGATCTGCCTAGGGCTGATGTGTGGGTTCTTGACTTCCTGCAGGAGAAATTTCACAACAAGACTCCAGATGACTGAGGGAACATTTTCTTAAAGCCGGGGACGATCAGACAAGAAAGAATCAACAGGAGAGCTAAGCTGGGCTGCCCTAGCTCTCGGGGGAAGTCAGAGAGAAGGGGGCCTGGGGACCAGGTTCAGGGGTGAGCCTGGGACGAGCTGCTGGTACCCAGGGATCCCCTGGTTGCAAGCCTCATGGGATCCTTTAGGGTTCTGGAGACGCAAGGCTGCGGGGGAAGAAATGGAGGAAGAAGAGGGGACAGGGCGTGGCCGGGCTATAGGAAGGGCACAGCCTGGGTCCTTTGTCCTGTGTCTTGTGTCTGGAATGCGGAAATCCTAGGGGAGGTCTGGGGGGAGGGTTTCGGTGTGTCAGTGTTTTAGGGGTGCTGCTTCAGGGCCGGGGTCTCCTAGGATTGGACAGTGGCAGGGGAGGGAGCTGTCAGTCATCACAGCTGGTCCTGCTGTGGCCCACCTGGTTCGGCTGCTTTTCTGGGCCTGGAGCTCGATGTTATTTCCAGGGGGTTGGCCTTCCGTGTCCGCTGTGAATAGCTCTGCCTTTGTTCAGCTCTCGGTCTGTTTCCCATTCATTCCACTCGTCCTGGCTCACCGGCTTCCTCACCTCTGTGGTTTAATTTTCCTTTTCTTTTTTTCTTTTTTTTTTTTTTTTAATATATTTTATTGAATTTTTACAGAGAGGAAGGGAGAGAGACAGAGTTAGAAACATCGATGAGAGAGAAACATCGACCAGCTGCCGCCTGCACACTCCCCACTGGGGATGTGCCCCCAACCATGGTACATGCCCTTGGCCGGAATCAAACCTGGGACCTTTCAGTCCGCAGGCCGACGCTCTATCCACTGAGCCAAACCGGTTAAGGCCTTTTCCTTTTCTCTTAAATCATTGATGCCAAAACACGTAAAAATAAAGCATCCATGCTTGGCCTGTGCGGCTCAGTGGTTGAGCATCAACCTATGAAACAGGAGATCACAGTCAAGGCCCGGTTGTGGGCTTGATCCCCAGTGGGGGGCGTGCAGGAGGCAGCTGATTAATGTGTCTCTCTTATCATTGATGTTTCTATCTCTCCTCCCTTCCTCTCTGAAATCAATAAAAATATTAAAAAATTAAAATCCTTATTGATGAGAGAGAGAGAGAGAGAAACATTAATGGAGGAAGAAACTGGCCTGTTGCTTCCTGTACCATCAAACCCACAACCTTGTTATGTGCCCTGACCGGGAGTCGAACCCTCAACCCTTTGGGGTTTAGGATGGAACTCTAACCAACTGAGCCACACTGGCCAGGGCTGCCTTACTGATTTTCTAAGTAAACTTTCTCTCTCTCTCTCTCTCTCTCTCTCTCTCTCTCTCTCTCTCTCTCTATTTCACAGAGGAAGAGGGTGAGAGAAGCATCAATGATGAGAGAGAATCATTGATCCGCTGCCTCCTACACGCCCCACACTGGGAATCGAGCCCACAACCTGGGCAAACCCAGGACCCTTCAGTCCGCAGACCGACAGTCTATTCACGGTGCCAAACCAGCCAGTGCTGAACTTTCTCTTATGAAAATAAATAAATAACCATAAACCTGTGCCCTGGGCTGCACTATTCCCCCAAATGCCCCCATAACCACGGTGGCAAAGGCCTTTGGAGAGAAAAGCAAAACATGTTTTCTCAAGGCCTGAGCGAAGTCGGGGTTGGGGTTTTTCCTTCCTGTTCAGCACCCTCCCTCCTCAGCGTCCTCACACATTCCTTTCCACCTGCCCTGATGCTGTTCCAGCCTCTATGTCTGGACAGTTGGTTCCCCTCTGACCCCCAAGTCCCCCTGCACGTCGGACCTCGTAGGATGGGAGAACAAGACCACCAAGGTGCCTGACACGCTGGTAGGCAGAAAGGAGGCGTCTGGGCTGAGAGAGGCAATGGGAGGGTATTGGTTCGATGGAAACAGTGGCCTTGGTCAGACGCTTACCAAGTGCAGGTCCGGAGTCTCTGTGTTTGATTTTTGTAAAAATATATTTTATTGATTTTTTTACAGAGAGGAAGGGAGAGGGATAGAGAGTTAGAAACATCGATGAGAGAGAAACATCCATCAGCTGCCTCCTGCACACCCCCCAGAGGGGATGTGCCTGCAACCCAGGTACATGCCCTTGACCGGAATCAAACCTGGGACCTTTCAGTCCACAGGCCGACACTCTATCCACTGAGCCAAACCGGGTAGGGCAACATCTTTAGAATTGTGCCCCCCTCCAGGACATGACTCCCGATGCATCAGAATCCAATGGACTCGGGTCTGGGACAGGCTGACGCAGCCATGGGCACCTCCATTCCTGTTTAGGTGGTAGAGACAGCGGCTGTCTGTCCAGGTGAAGGGCAGCGTTGACCTCTGCCCTCACAGGCCCCGTGACAGTGACAGAGGATGGGGGGAAACTCGAGATCAGGGAGGGCCCCCGAGGGAGGTGGTGGCAGGTGAGCGGTGTGAGAGGGAACTGTGCAGGCCAGCCTGGAGGCGGGGACAGCAGGAGAGGGGTTGCTGAGGTTGAACGGAGCAGACACAGGGGACGAGGCAGGCCATGGTGAGGGGCCACCTTCTGAGCGGGACAATGAAGCCATTAGAAACGAGTTTTATTATTTATTTACAAAAATATATTTTTAAAATTTTTTCTATTGATTTCAGAGAGGAAGGGAGAGGGAGATAGAAACATCAATGATCAGAGAAAACCATTGATCAGCTGCCTCCTTCAAGCCACCACTGGGGATCGAGCCTGAAACCTGGGCATGTGTCCTGACTGGGAATCGAACTGTGACCTCCTGGTTCATAGGTTGATGCTCAGCCTCTGAGCCACGCTGGCCAGGCTAGACTTGAGTGTTTTTTGCTTTTTTTAAAATTTATTTATTCATTTTTAATATATTTCTATTGATTTCAGAGAGGAAGGGAAAGGGAGAGACAGAAACATCAATGATGAGAATCATTGATTGGCTGCCTCCTGCACGCCCCCCACTGGGGATGGAGCCCATAACCCGGGCATGTGCCCCCGGCCGGAATTGAACCTGGGACCCTTCGGTCCGAAGGCCGACGGTCTATCCACTGAGCCACACCTGCTAGGGCTGGACTTGAGTTTTAATGAGCTTCCTCAGGTCATGGGCCATAAGAAAGGCTGCGGTGGGGACAGTGAGCCCCTGCCTGGCATATTCCCCTTCCCCTCCACGACATGAGGGGTGCTGAGGTTCTGGGGGATCTTCTGACCTGAGGTCCAGGTCTTCCCGCCTCCCTCCAGCACCCAGGAGTAGAGCATGAGGTCGGGCTGGCCCCACTGCCGCACACCATGGGGTGGGCCTGGTTCATGCAGGAAAGAAACAGGAGGGACCTTGGCTGCTCCCCGGGCCCAGACAGCTCTTCCCACAGACTCTGCCCTTGTGGCTTAGGGCCTTTGGGGTCTGGTAGCTCACGCCCTCCTGCAGAGGTAAGACCCATCCCACCCCCACCCCAGCCCCTTTTCCGAGCTCTGGGGCAGGTCGTTCAGGTCCATATGATTCCATTTATTTGTCAGGACTCGCCCTGGGGCAGGAGGAGGGGGCGTAAGGGGCATCCAATTAGGCTACCTCCACCTTCTACCTGGACCCAGGCTCAGGCACGAGGCAGAAAGTGGGCGTCAAGGTCGGATGGGTCTGCTCCCCACCCGACTAGCGAGCCCTCCTCCTGCTTGCACCCCGCTCCTGCTTGCACCCCCACTCCTGCTCGCACCTCCCGGCGTCCCAGAGTGCCTTCCGACCCTTTATTGCGGTGCAGCACCTCCAGCCCCGCCCCGCCCAACGCAGGGGCATGGCGTGCTGATTGACAGTGCAGGCCCCGCCTCCTCCCCGTCTCTAGGGCGACACTGGAAGCGAACTGCGGCCCAGAGAATCCTCGCCGCCCCGCCGTCCCTGTGTCTGCATCTTTTTTTCTTTCTTGATGCTTCAATTTATTTCCTCTCAGAATTTAGGATCTTCCCCTTTATTTTTTCTTTATTTTTTATTTAAAAATATATTTTATCGATTTTAAAAAAATATATTTTGATTTTTTACAGAGAGGAAGGGAGAGGGAGATAGCTAGAAACATCGATGAGAGAGAAACATCGATTAGCTGCCTCCTGCACACCCCCTACTGAGGATGCACCTCAGAGCACCAGGGAGTAAAGGCAGGAGGGAGGGCCCAGCCCCGCCTCTGCTGGCAGGAGAGTGTGGGGAGCAGGGCGGGGCCAGCCCCCCAATCACAGGTTCTTGAGTCAGGAAGTGGGAGCGTGGACACATCTCCCATCACCCGATCCCCACAAGGCAGCCGCCTCACGCTCTATAGAGCCGAGAGAGGCACGTCAGAGCCCTGGGCGCCGCCACTGCTGGCAGCCTGAGCGCAGCTCCCTCCATTTCCACCTGAGCGCCTCCACCTCCACATCACAATTCCGGCCACAGCTCCCAGCAGAACCAGGACCACAGCGATGCCCGTGATGATGATGATGATGGAGGTCTGAGAAGGCGGCTCCCATCTCAGGGTCAGGGGCTCGGGCAGCCCCTCGTGCTGCACGTGGCACGTGTATCTCTGCTCCTCTCCAGGGGGCACCCCCACGGCCACCCACTTCTGGAAGGTGCCGTCCCCCGCAGGCCTGGTCTCCACCAGCTCCATGTCCTGGGTCTGGTCCTCCCCGTCACGCTGCCAGGTCAGGCTGATGTCCGCAGGGTAGAAGCCCAGCGCCCAGCACCTCAGGGTGACCTCACGGGCGGAGACGGGGTGGCGGGTCACGTGAGCCTTGGGAGGGTCTGCGCGCTGCAGGGTCTCCTTCCCTTTGTCCAGGTACAGGAGCAGCGACTCCACACACAGGCCCTCCAGGTAGCTCCTCTTTTTCTCTGCCGCACCGGCCGCCTCCCACTTGCGCCGGGTGATCTGAGCCGCCGTGTCGGCCGCAGTCCAGGAGGTCAGGTCCTCGTTCAGGGCGATGTAGTCGGCGCCGTCGTAGGCGTATTGCTCGTACCCGCGGAGCAGGCGCCCCTCGGGGCCCACGTCGCAGCCCGACATCCTCTGGAGGGTGTGAGGCCCGTCCTCGCTCTGGTTGTAGTAGCCGCGCAGGATCTCCAGGTTCCCTCGGAAAGTCTGTGCGGTTTCCTTGTTGATCTGCGTCTGCCCCTCCCAATACCCCGGCCTCTCCCGCTCCACCCACGGCTGCTGCATCCACGGCGCCCGCGGCTCCATCCTCGGACTCGCCGCGTCGCTGTCGAACCGCACGAACTGCGTGTCGTCCACGTAGCCGACGGAAAGGAAGCGGGGCTCCCCGCGGCCGGGCCAGGACACGATGGTGAAGAAATACATCAGGGAGTGGGGGCCTGGGGGGCGGACGGAGGGCAGGGCCGGGGCTGGACACGCGCCTTCCGGGCCCCGCGCCCCCGCCGGGTCCCCTCGCTCCTCCCCGCACTCACCGGCCCAGCTGGGGGTCAGGACCAGCGCCCCCGAGAGCAGCAGGAAGAGGGTGGGTGGGCTCAGGACCCGCATCCTCGGTGTCGGGGGGGTGACGATCTCATGCGTCTGCATCTTTGCTTCCGCCGGAACTAAGCCTGGCGTCGTCGTCTCATCTCCATGGAAACACCGGAAACGTGCTCCCGGTTAGCGCTCCCCAGCGACGCCGCGGCTGCGGACTTGGGTTCCGCTGGCGTCGCGGCCGGGAAGCGCGGCCTTGTAGGTGGTGGCGGCCGGGCCCGGCGCCGGCGGAGGAGCTGGCGGTGAGGCTGGGCGGCGGGAGGCCGGAGCGCGCCCGGGAGCGGCCCCCACGCCGGGCCGGGAGCGCAGGCTGCGGACGGGAGGGGGCCCCCCTCAGGGGCGGGCGGGGCGGACCGGGAGGCCTGGGGCCGTGCG